TGTGGTGTGGGAGAGACTGTGGTGTGGGGGAGGCTGTGGTGTGGGGGAGACTGTGGTGTGGGAGAGACTGTGGTGTGGGGGAGACTGTGCTGTGAGCGAGAGCTTTTTTGGTTGCCTGTTGTGTCTTGGTTGGTATTTTTGTGTTTGGTTGATTTTCCCGGTTATTTTGGATGTCTTGTTATTTCTCGGTTTCTCACATTTTTCTTTTTTTTCTTCCTTCGTCTCTCTTTTTCTTTCTCTGTCTTTGTCTCTGTCCCTGTCCCTGTCTGTCTGTCTCTCTCATCTATTATATATCTATCTCAATCTTTATGTTTATTTGTTTATTTAATGATAATATTTTAATTGGATTCCATTTGTTACAATGGATATTCTTGGTGTGACATGCTGTCAGTTATCCGCTGTGTGCAAGGAATGGCCGGGGTTACCATCCACTGGCGGCGAGGGATTTGAACGCGGGTCAGCAAGATTTCTTGATCAGATCGCTACCGCTGCACCACACAGCACACAGTATTCTCTGTCTGTCAACATGTCTCTGTTTCTGTCTGCTTGTCTGCGTCTCTCTGTCTCTCATTCGTTGTTTCTCTCTATCTTGAGTTCCATGGTCAATTATTTTCTTTATTTCTTTCATTTCCTTCCATGATGCATTTTCGGTGTGTCCGTTTTTTGTTTAGCCCTTTTATGTTTATTTTCTGTCTTTGTTTTTTTTTCTTTATATATATATATACATATATAACTTTTTTCTTTCATTTTACTCTTTCTCCATTTTTTTTCTCGTTTACTCTTCCTATATCCTTTTAGGCAGTAACCAAACTAAAATGACGAAAGGCAAAGAAAAGACAATATCAGCTCCTCACCTTTTCCTTTACAGAGGCAGAGACGATGCCCTTACCTGGCCTGACCTTACGCTCCATCGGGGGCATAATTGACCTGTTTTTCTTCCTCGGTCCGAGCCCGGAGCAGGTCGTGGCGCAATACACGAGCGTGATTGGTCGCCCGTTCCTGCCTCCCTATTGGTCACTTGGATTCCAACTTTGCAGGTAACTTTCTCATCGTTGTTACGATATGTATCTTTGGCTCAACACATGCAATATAAATATATATGTACTTGTGTTTATGTATGTATGTATGTGTGTATGTATATATGTATGCTTGGGAAATCACACATAATTGCTTATTAATATCAACAGATATGGTTATAATTCTCTTGAAAATCTTACATCGGCTGTGTCTCGTACTCGGCGCCACGGAATTCCTCAGGTACAGTAGTTCCTCGTGTTATTTGAAATGTATTTTAGTTTACTATTTTTGTCTTGTATCTGATTTACTGTTTAATGCATTGTTTCTACTGAGTTGCTTATAATGATCAAATTATATAAGATGACATTTAATTGGCGTATATTTGTCAGGTGCATAATTTTTGGGGGGTTATTTTCAGGTCGAATTGAAAATAGTTTTGTAATATATTCTGAATCATTGTAACCATTTCACTGTTGTTACATACATTTTGAAAATATGGCGATCCGGACCTCCGCTTTATCATACACACACGCACACGCACGCGCACGCACACGCACGCACACGCACAAACACACAAACACTCAAACACTCAAACACACACACAAACACACACACACACACACACACACACACACACACACACACACACACACACACACACACACACACACACACACACACACACACACACATACACACACACACACACAAATCGCCCGTCATCCGTTTATACTTTGTTTACGTAAACCATTGTGAAGGTAATCGTAGCCTCTTGATATGTTCCATTGTTAAGTGTCCGTGTTCATTAATTTTCGTCTGTGCATGAGAGGTAGATCTTCGTTTTACGTGAATTAAAGCATGCCGAAGGTAAAATTATGCTCGAGAAAATGGTGGTAAATGTAATTCATGATTAAGATCGTATTGCGAAAAGTAAACAGAAATAAGGTAAATGACTAAATTTGGCAATGGAAACAGAAAATACGGCATTGAAAAAAAAACCCTTGGGGTGTTTGTTTAACTTCAGGATATCAAAAAAAAAGAAAGAAAAAAATAGAACGCCCACAAACAAAGACATAATAGTGAAAATAATGACTTGTGCGCTCTCCACTACACAACCCGCCCATCCGACTACACTACCTCAAGGTTGTGTCCTGGAAAAAAAGAAAATGATAAAAGTATCTTTATTTAACACTGGCGATGATTCATTATGAAAACATATATATTTTTTTCTCCCCAACCTTCACTCCCCTCACCCCAGGACGTCCAATATGCCGACATCGACCACATGGACCGACGCCTTGACTTCACGTACGACAAAGAACACTTCGCCGGACTCCCCGAGTACATCCGCCAGGTGAAGAGCGAGGGACTGCGGTTCGTCATCATCCTCGATCCTGCCATCAACGCTGAGGTCAGTTGGCGGGAGGGGTAGGGGTGGTTATGGTGGGGGAGGGGGAAGGGGGGGTTAGGGGTGGGAAGAGAGGGGGGAGGTGCTATGGTGGAGGGGTGGGGTGGGGAAGGGTGTAGGGGGGTGAAGGTTGGGAAGTGAGTGTTGGGGAGAAGTTTGGGGGTAAGTGTGTTGTGGGAGGGGTGGGGGAGTGAGTGTGTTGGGGGAGGGGTGGGGGATGTGAGTGTGTTGGGAGGTAAAAGAAGGGGGATTGTATCAAATAAGTGTGGTTGCGTGTAGATAGGGTTGGGGTGTGGATGGGATATGAGAGGGGAATGAGAAAGAAGGAATGAGCATGATGGGCGTGTGTGCATTTGTAGATAAACTGATTTAGCATCAACACTGGCATCAAAATGATGATGGTGATGATGATGATGATGATGATGATGATGATAATGATAATGATAATGATAATGATGATGATGATGATGATGATGATGATGATGATGATGATGGTGATGATGATGCACAATTTACCACCTTAAAAGAAACACCATACTTCAACTGTCACCATATCTCTCTTAACTCACCATTATTTTTTTCCTTATCTTTCCGTCACAGTTGCCAGCGGGAGAATACCCTGTGCACGAGGCAGGTGTTGCTAATGACGTATACATCACGTGGCCCGAAGGTCAGGCCCCGGATGAGAATTTCGGCGCCGGTGACGTCATGCTAGGATACGTGAGTTTTTTTTTCTATAAGGCTAAAAAGTTATTTTTTGTGTGTGATTTATATATGTGAATTTAGTTTGTTTATGTTTGCAGTGGTTGTATTTATATTGGCTGATTTGAGTGTGATGATATTTGATGATAATGATACTGATAAGAATAGAAGATAATGACAGTAATGCTAATAGTGATGTGGATGATAATAATAATGATATAGATGTTATTATTATTGTTGTTGTTGATGATGGCGATAAGTATAAATATAGATGTGAATATAAATATGAAGATAAAGATAAAGATAAAGACAACGACAAAAACGAAGACAGACAGAGACAGAGACCGAGACAACGACAGGGAAAAAGACAAAGACAAAGACAAAGACAAAGTCAGACAAAGACAAAGACAGACAAAGGCAGACAAAGACAAAGACAAAAATAAAGATAAAGATGGTTTCCTTCTAATGTAACCCCCTTTTTGCATGCAGGTGTGGCCAGACAACAGAACCGCTTTTCCCGACTTCTTCCGAGAGAAAACGAAGTCATGGTGGAAGGAACAGATCGTCGACTTCCACAAAATACTGGAATTTGATGGACTGTGGATCGTGAGTTTTCTCTCTCTCTCTCTCTCTCCTTCTCCCTCTCCCTCTCCCTCTCCTTCTCCATCTCCCTCCTTCCCTCCATCCCTCCTCCCTCTCCCTCTTCCTCTTCCTCTTCCTCTCCCTCTCCCTCTTCATCCATTTCTCTCTCTTCCCTATTTTTCTCCTTCTCTTTCTCCTTCTTTTCCCTCTTCCTCACTTATTTACAATTCTAACCGTTCACTTATTTATCGTATAAGATAACTCCAATCGTTAATTAAATAGTGATCTCGGTGGCAATTATTACGCCAATTCTGCTAGTTTATTAATAACTAATTTTTCCAGTCTATTCACTAACTTCCCCCCCCCCCCCCCCCGTCTCTCGCAAGGACATGAACGAGCCGGCCAACTTCGGCACGAACGAGGAGCGTCCGTGGAACTGGCCTGAGGAGTGGGGGCCCTGGAGCCTCACCTGCCCCCCCTCCCCCTTGGACGACCCCCCCTACGTCACCGCCGCCGCTTCCGTTTGGGGGGAAGATAAGAGGTGAGGAGGAGGAGGAGGAGGGAGAGAGGGAAACAGGAGGGAAAGGATGAGTATATATATATACATTGTATATTATATATGTTGTATGTATATATGTTATATATATATATATATATATATATATATATATATATATATATATATATATATATATATATATATCATATAATCTCTCTCTCTCTCTCTCTCTCTCTCTCTCTCTCTCTCTCTCTCTCTCTCTCTCTCTCTCTCTCTCTCTCTCTCTCTCTCTCTCTCTCTCTCTCTCTCTCTATTTACATATATACCCATATATATGTGTATATATATGTGTGTGTGTGTGTGTGTGTGTGTGTGTGTGTGTGTGCGAGAGAGAGAGAGAGAGATGGCTTATTAGATCTAAAAATTAATTGACAGATAGATAGACTTCCCTCCACTTTCGTTTGCCAACTCAGTTAACGGCCACCGACCTTTCTTCCGACCAGACTCTCGGACAAGACCCTGTGCATGGTGGCCAGGCAGGGCGACGATCGGGAACTGAGCCACTATGACGTGCACAACCTCTACGGGTGGTCGGAGGCGCTGCCCACGCTCGAGTAGGTTTTCGTGGCGTTAGAAGAAGAGAGTTATTTGTTGAGATTTATTTGTTGGTTATACAGATGTACGTTGTTATCATGTGGTGTAACATACAGTCATGCAAACACAGATGCACAGAAACATAGACACAGACACATGGACACGCACGCACGAGCACAAGCGCAAGCACAAGTACAAGCGCAAACGCAAGCGCAAGCACAAGTACACGCACACACACAAGCACACACGCACGCACGCACGCACACACACACACACGCACACACCCACACCCACACCCACACCCACACCCACCCACACCCACACCCACACCCACACCCACACCCACACCCACACCCACCCACCCTGAACCTCAGCGTAAAAACCTGCATTTCGCTACCTTTCCCAGAGCACTCCAGGCAGCCACGGGCAAGAGGGGCATCGTGGTGACCCGCTCAACGTACCCGGGCAGCGGCAGATGGGCGGGGCACTGGCTTGGAGACAACAGGGCCAGCTGGAGGCACCTCAGAGACTCTATCACGGGTGAGGGGGAAGGGAAGGGTGAGAGAAAGGAAGAAAGAAAGAGAGGGAGGGAGGGAGGGAGAAGGGAAGAGTGAGGGAGAAGGAGAGAGGAAGAGAGGGAGAGAGGAAGAGAGGGAGAAAGAGAGTAAAAGAGGAAGAGCGGGAAACAGGAAGAGAGGGAGAGAGAGAGGAAGAGAGGAAGAGAAGGAAAGAGGAAGAGAGGGAGAGGGGAAAAGAGTGAGAGATGAAGAGAGGAAGAGAAGAAGAGGGGGACAAAGCCAGCTGGGGACATCTCGGAGACTATGATAGGTGCGGGAAAGAATGAAAAGGGAGTGGAAGGAGAGGGAGAAAGGAAGAAGAGAGGGGGAGGAAGAAGAGGAGGAAAGAGGAAGAGAAGGGGAGGGAGAAAGGAAGAGGGGGAGGAAAGAGGAAGAGAGGGAGAGGGAGAAAGGAAGAAGAAGAGGGGGAGAGGAATAAGAAAGGAAGTGAGAGATAGGGAGATGAAGGAAGAGAGGGAGAGGGAAAGGGAGAATGAGAGGAAGAGGAAGAATAAGAGGGAGAGGGAGAGGGATAGGAAAAGATAGGGAAGAGAAGGGGAGGGAGAGGGAGAGGAAAAGATAGGAAAAGATAGGAAAAGATAAGACTATAGGAATATAGGAATATAGGAATAGAGAGAGAGAGAGAGAGAGAGAGAGAGAGAGAGAGAGAGAGAGAGAGAGAGAGAGGAGAGAGAGAGAGAGAGAGAGAGAGAGAGACTGAGAGAAAGTGAGAGTCAGAGAGAGAGAGAGAGAGAGTGAGAGTGAGAGTGAGAGTGAGAGTGAGAGTGAGAGTGAGAGTGAGAGTGAGAGTGAGAGTGAGAGTGAGAGTGAGAGTGAGAGTGAGAGTGAGAGAGAGAGAGAGAGAGAGAGAGAGAGAGAGAGAGAGAGAGAGAGAGAGAGATAGAGATAGAGATAGAAAGAGAAATATCAGAAATAAGCAATACAAAGCACATTGTGCCCAAAACATACATATATAAATAATGAAAAAACAAACAAACGAATAAACGACCACGCACAAATCCGGCTCTTCCTCGTCAGGGATGCTGGAATTCAACCTCTTCGGGATCCCCTACGTGGGTGCGGATATTTGCGGATTTTTCGACAATGCCGAAGAGGAGATGTGCGGGCGGTGGATGGAGCTGGGTGCCTTCTACCCCTACAGCAGGAACCACAACACACTGGGCGCGATCGACCATGTACGTAGGGATTTTAGTAGGTTTGCGTATTACGGGGAATTGGGGTGGGGTAGAGGTGGGGGGTTAGTGGTTGTGGAAGGTTGTTTTGTGATGTTTTTTTTTTTTGTGGGGGGGAGGTTATTGGGATTGCTATTTTGATTGTTGTGTGTTTTTTTTTGTATTGGTTATTTATTTATGTGTTTGTTTTTATTTTTTAAGAGATTGTGTTGGTTTGACGCGCTAAAAAGGTATGTACACGTATAGGTTCTTTATTAGAATCACTTGTCCATCTATTCACATATAGTGTATAGTATCAATTTGTTTATTTTGTATTCTCTCACAACTGTGCCTCCAAACCATCGTGCCATCCGTTTAGTGTTTGTGATTTATTTACCTAACAGTTCAAGCTGAACAACTCACTCCTGACTTACAGATATCATTGATAAAACACAAACCTAAATAGTTCAGTGAGGCAAGACCCTTTTTAGTTGAGATTTCTGTGAACCTTATGCATTTCTCACCACGAGCGTCCCCCTTGCGGATTCTGGTTACGATTCTTCTAGATTATTAAGAGGAGATTTTCTTTATCTTTCTAAATTTCATCCTGTAACAAATTAAGTATTGTGTTTCAAGTAATGATACATGTATTCAATTTGTATCAAACATATCATTGACACTCTTGTCATTATTACTATTTTCATTATCTTTCTTATAATTGTCAATATTCATCATTATATCATTACCACCATGAATATTAATCTGTTATTATGTATATTAAACTGTTATTATGTATATTTAACTGTTATTATGTATTTATATATCTCTTCCCTAACGTATCCACGCAGGACCCCGGCTTATGGCCCAGCGTAGCGGAATCTAGCAGAAAGGCGCTAAGAATCCGCTACACTCTGCTACCGTATCTTTACACGCTACATTTCCTCGCCGCTACGAAAGGTTCTACTGTTG